GAATGGGGCCAGGACTCCCTCGACCAAAGGCCCCAGAAATGGCCCAAGCCGGGCCCCAAGGGCACACAACTCAGCGGCCGTCGAGGCGGCAAAGGCCGGAGACCCCAACAGTCACAGGGTGCCAACTGGGACCGCTCCAACGACTCCTGGAACGGCAGCGAGTGGGCGCGCAGACAGCCCCAAGACCCACGACGGGATCAACGGCGACCGCAGAGGGGGCAGAGGCAGGAGGACGACCAGTCTCAACAGCTGGCCGAACTGAAAGCCATCGTCACGATGCTCACCTCGCTGGTGTTGAGGCAGGAAGTGCAATTGAACATATGCCGCCAAGACACAGCGTATGTAATCTTCCTCCAGACTCAAGGAGAAGACAGCTTGGCGAGATCACTATATGTCATCGGAGAACAATGGCATCGCACGAAGTCGGAGAGCCCGGACCAGCTCAAGGCCCCGCTGCGCGTTATCATGTTCCAACATTTCATCGAAATGACGAAAACGCGCTTCACCAAGATGATGGAGACGCCATCGTCGCGATCCCAGGCTCTGGAGAGGGGCCTTCTCACAGAGGCACCGGCGATGATCCCGGGTCTCCGATGGGACCCCATCGAGAAGCGCCATGTCAAGGACCCCCGGGTGACACCCCTGAAGCCCGAAGAGGTGCTGGAGGCCATGGACCGCCTCCTGATCTTGAGCTCTCAGGAACTGGTGATCAACAGGTTCCACGGCATGCGCAAGCTCAGCGAGGAGTATGCCTCCCCCAGCATCGGAATGTTTCTGGAGTTGGGACTCCGCACGGGGGCAGCCAACGAGGCCTGGAACTTGCTGCACAAGCTCAGCCAGTCTGCTGCCTGGATGGCCACGGGCGGCTATCTCCGGCACGAGCATCTCCACCTGAGCGCCTTGGCGAAGCGCCTTGCAGCTGTGACGAAGTGAGGGCGATGCGCTTAGGGAACCAAGGCAATTACTGCTATGCCAATTCGGTGTTGCGGTCGTTGCTGTACATGAGCTGCCATCTGGCCGACGACCACCAAATTTTCCAATTCGGCTATCGTGAGTTCCTCAAGGGGATAGTTAAGCGCTCTGGCCGGAAGGCAGTTCACCTTTGGCAGCATCCTGTATGGGTTGCACTTACCCGGGGCTGGCAATCGCCAGGTCGGCAACATGACGCTGCTGAGTTTCTGCAGTTTCTTGTTAGTGGTTCCCTGTTGAATCGTCAAAGACTCGAGCTGATTTGGCAGGCCCGAGACCCCGATCTCCCTGGCCCGAGAGGTCACACAGTAGCTGATGCGGGCGAGTCGGCTCCACTCGTCCTTATCTCTCCCGGCGAGACCTCTGAAGATGGTTCTAGGGTGGTCACTGTTCAAGACCTTGTCGATCAGTGGCACCGGCAGACCCACATACATGCAGCACTGTTGCCATCTACGGCGTTGGTGTTGCAGGCTTGCAGATTTCATTTTGAGGCGGATGGACATCTTGTGACCAAACGTAGGTATCGAATCGTTCCTACCCCTACTCTTCGTTTCCCGCAGTTTGGTGACTCCTCGCACTGTCATGAGATCGTCCTCAAGCTTAATTCGGTGGTAGTACATCTGGGCGATGCCCCAGATCATGGCCATTATCAGGCACAGCTTTATAATGAACTTACCAATGGTTTCATCCTTACTGACGATGCCAAGCCGGTGAGAAACCTCCCGTGCAAGGCTGCTGAAGCTCTTCAAGGTGACATGTATCTTTTCTTCTACACGCAGTGCCGATAATAAGGCCGGTCCCGCTTTGGGTGTCCGCACCGGGGACCTTCGAATGGGTGGGTGGGGGGATGTGCAACGCACAGCGAAGCCGGGCCGTGGCGCCTGTCCTCCTCTTTTCGTAGCAAAGGTACGACTTTGCGACGTGGAAAGTGAAAAGTGAAAGTATGTATATATCTCTGTGTATATATATATATACACACACGGGTTTTGGTCATATACATGTATAAAGATTTATGTAGATGTCTATGCATGCAGAAGTACCTTGTTATGTAGAGGTGCATGTATGCATGCGGATATGAATGTGCCTACGCATCAGTATCTGTACATTTATGCGTATATAAGTATATCCACATATACAAAAACACATACGCATGTTCATAAAGACGAAGATCTGAAGCGGTTTGCCTATGATGGCCTCGAATCCGATGTGCTGCCGACCAGATCGTCGTCTCTGTTGGCCCATAAGCATTCCTCGGCGGGTTCGGGGCTGTGGGGTGTTCAGGGTTTAAGGTTTTAAGGCTTCAGGGTGTAGGGTGGAGGATGTTTAGGGTTGGGTGTACGGTTTAGGGGTGAGTTGTAGTTCCAAATTATGAACCCCCCAGGGGTGTAGGCTACTGTCCTTCCCGAGACAGGTATCTTAAAGGGAGCCGTTGCTGCAGAGCAACCATCGGGATTTCCACTAAACCTGTTGCTGTCTTGAGTGTGGTGCAGCAGACGGTTGTAGGCACACTGTACAGCCTTGGTGTGCTTGAAGACATAGACAGACTGTCTGGCAAACAGAGCTGTCTGTGGACAAACCGCTGCTGAAGCCCAGAATCCAGACTCTCTCTCTCTCTCTCTATATATATATATATATTTATTTATTTATTTATTTATTTATTTTTTCTTTATTCATTTATAGATTTGCTTGTTTACAGACATATATATATATATATATATATTTATTTATATTTATTGATTATTATTATGATTAAGATTATTATCATTCTTATTATTTCTATATTATATATATATATATGAAGCCCAGAATCCAGACTCCGGCACCACAAAGCTGCGAGAGCGGCAGGACCAGCTGCGATGGAAACGCCTGCGGCGCGGTTTCGGAGTTCGGGTCTCTGGAAGCTTCGGGCCTCTTTGGGCTTAAGGGGGGTTAAAGGTTTTTAGGGGTTTGGGGGGTTTTAAGGGTTTTAGATAAGGGTTTTTAGGGGTGTTTAGGGGTTTTGGGGGTTTAGGGGTTTAAGGGTTTAGGGTTTTAGGGGTTAGGGCTTGAGGGCTTTCGGAGTTCGGGTCTCCGGAAGCTTCGTGCCTTTTTGGGGGTTAAGGGACTTTAAAGGGGTTTAAGGGGGTTTTAGGGGGCTTTAAGGTTAGGGGTTTTAGGGGTTTTTAGGGGTTAGGGCTTTAGGGGTTTAGGGTCTCTGGAAGCTTCGGGCCTCTTTGGGGCCTAAGGGGGCCTTTAAGGGGGTTTAAGGTGGCTTTAAGAGGGTTTAGAGGTTTCAGGGGGTTTCGGGGTTTTTAGGGGTTTTAGGTGCTTTAGAAGGGTTTAGGGGGTTAGGGCTTTAGGGCTTCAGGGGTTTAGGGTTTAGGGGTTTAGGGTCTAGGTTGTTACGTTTGAGGTTTAGGTTTCAGGGTTGGGGCTTTGGGGCTTTGGAGGGGAAGTGGTTTCCCTTACCAGGGGAGACACCTCGAGTTGATTTGGGGGCTGTCGCAGTACAGGGTCACATAACAGGAGCTACATTTCTATACTCCGGCTTAAGGGCTTAAGGGTTTACTTAAAGGATCATGGGACTTAGTATCTACGACTTTTCATAGGGCAGCCATACTTATGACTACTTATAACCCCCAATTAAGGTATCTATTGCTATGTCCCCTGATCCTCCAAGTAGGGTTTAGGGCTTACTTTGCAGCCTAACCTGCACTCTGGGACTGGTCCGGGGGGTCGAAGGTGAAACGGCTAAATAACCTGGGGCTTAAGACTCGGAATAGGGCTTTTGGGGTCCGCTTGTCGGTTACACCCGGAGTATGGGTTTGGGGTGTAGGGTTTAGGGTATAAGGGAAGACTATTGCGAGACCCTGTAATAGCTGCGCAGATTGATCTGAAGGCGACTCCTCGCTCAATGCCAGTGTTTCGGATTCGATTGCTTGAGGGTTATTTAGGGGATAAGGGTTCAGGGTTTGAGGGCGTTTCGGCTTGGGACGGTGGTCGAGAATTAGTGCTTGCATGTTTCGGCCTCTGCATAGTGACAGGGCTCAGCGTGTGGTAATGTCGGGGCCTTGATAATAAAAATTGGATTTTGCGGGGTACGCTATACTACAAATAGAATAAGGAACTCCCCCAACATACTGTTGATACGAAAAATCCTGCA